GAGTTTTTCCTAAATACTTCTTTGAACTTAGCAGCAGGTATGAGAAGACTGGAGGTTGACTTGGAGACCATTTCTTGGTTTAAAACTCTATGGAACCAAATCCTGCGTAATCTAAAGAATATCATGTTCTAACTGGCTCCTGAATGTTGACTGGATAAACAATTAAATGAAGGCAGAAATAAAGATGTTCTTTGAAACAAATGAGAATGAGGACACAACATACCAGGATCTCTTGGACACATTTAAAGCAGTGGTTAGAGGAAAATTTATAGCAATAAATGCCCACATGAGAAAGGAGGAAAGATATAAAATCGACACCCTGTTGTCAAAATTGAAAGAGCTAGAGAAGCAAGATTAAAAAACAAACAAACAAACAAAAACCTCAAAAGCTAGCAGAAGACAAGAAATTACTAAGATCAGAGCAGAACTGAAGGAGAAAGAGACAAAACATCCTTCAAAAAATCAGTAAGACCAGGAGCTGGTTTTTCGAAAAGATCAACAAAATAGACAGACCATTAGCCAGATTAATAAAAAAGAAAAGAGAGAAGAATCAAATAGATGCAATAAAAAGCAATAAACAGAAAAACACCAACAATCCAACAGAAACACAAACTACCATCAGAGATTACTGCAAACAACTCTATGTACAGAAACCAGTATACCTGGAAGAATTGGGATAAATTCACAGACACTTGCACCCTCCCAAAACTAAACCAAGAAGTTGAAACCCTGAATAGACCAATAACAAGGGCTGAAGTTGAAGCAGCAATTAACAGCCTACCAATGAAAAAATGTCCAGGTCCAGAAGGATTCACAGCTGAATTCTATCAGACATACAAAGAGGAGCTGGTACAGATCATTCTGAAACTATTTCAAGCAATACAAAAAGAGAGAATCCTCCCCAACTCATTTTATGAGACCAACATCATCCTGATACCAAAACCCAGAAGATATGCAACAAAAAAAGAAAACTTCAGGCCAATCTCCATGATGAACATAGACACAAAAATCTTCAATAAAATAGTGGCAAATGGTTGCAACAGCACATCAAAAAGCTTATCTATCATGATCAAGTAGGCTTCAGCCAGGGGATGCAAGGCAGGTTCAACATTTGCAAGTCCATAAACGTAATCCACCATATAAATAGAAACAAAGACAAAAACCACATGACTTTCTCAATAGATGCAGAGAGGGCCTTTGACAAAATTCAACAGTGCTTTATGCTAAAAACTCTCAATAAACTAGGTATTGATGGAATCTATCACAAAATAATAAAAGCTGTTTATGGCAAACCCACTGCCAATACCATAATGAATAGGCAAAAACTGGAAAGATTCCCTTTGAAATCTGGCACTAGACAAGGATGCACTCTCTCTCCACTCTTACTCAATATAGTATGGGAAGTTTTAGCCAGGGCAATCAGGCAAGAAAAAGAAAGAAAGGGTATTCAATTAGGAAAGGAGGAAGTCAAATTTTGCCTATTTGCAGACGACGTGATTGTATATTTAGAAGACCCATTCGCCTCAGCCCAAACTCTCCTTAAGCTGATAGGCAATTTCAGCAAAGTCTCAGGATACAAAATCAATGTGCAGAAACCACAAGCATTCCTATACACCAAGAACAGACTAACAGAGAGCCAAATCAAGAGTGAACTCCCACTCACAATTGCTACAAGAAGAATAAAATACCTAGAAATACAACTAACAAAGGAGGTAAAGGACCTCTTCAAGGAGAACTAAAAACCACTACTCAAAGAAATAAGAAGACATAAACAGATGGAAAAACATTCCATGCTTATGGTTAGGAAGAATCAATATTGTGAAAATGGCCATACTGCCCAAAGTAATTTATAGATTTAACACTAGCCACATCAAACTACCAATGACCTTTTTCACAGAACTGGAAAAAAATAGTTTAAACTCCATATGGAACCAAAAAAGAGCCTTCATAGCTGAGACAATCCTAAGCAAAAAGAACAAAGCTGGCAGCATCACACTGCCAAACTTCAAGCTATGCTATGAGGCAACAGTAATCAAAACAGCATGGTACTGGTATCAAAACAGAGACATAGGCCAATGGAACAGAACAGAGGCCTCCGGAGCAACACCACACATCTACAACCATCTGATCTTCGACAAACCTGACAAAAACAAGCAACGGGGAAAGGATCCCCTGTTTAATAAATGGTGTTGGGAAAACTGGCTAGCAATGTGCAGAAAGCAGAAACTGGACCCCTTCCTGATGCCTTACAATAAAATTAACTCCAGATGGATTAAGGACTTAAACATAAGACCTAACATCATAAAAACTCTAGAAGAAAACCTAGGCAAGACCATTCAGGACATAGGCATAGGCAAGGACTTCATGACTAAGACACCAAAAGCAATGGCAGCAAAAGCCAAAATAGACAAATATGATCTAATTAAACTCCAGAGCTTCTGTACAGCAAAGGAAACAATCATTAGAGCAAACCAGCAACCAACAGAATGGGAAAAAATTTTTGCAATCTACCCATCTGACAAAGGGCTAATATCCGAATCTAAAAAGAACTAAGATAGATTTACAAGAAAAAAAAAAAAAAAAAAAACCATCCAAAAGTGGGCCAAGGATCTGAACAGACACTTTTCAAAGAAGACATATATGAAGCCAACAAACATTTGAAAAAATGCTCATCATCACTGGTCATTAGAGAAATGCAAATCAAAACCACATTGAGATACCATCTCACACCAGTTAGAATGGTGATTATTAAAAAATCTGGAGACAACAGATACTAGAGAGGATGTGGAGAAATAGGAACACTTTTACACTGTTGGTGGGAGTGTAAATTAGTGCAACTATTGTGGAAGACAGTGTGGCGATTCCTCAAAGATCTAGAAACAGAAATTCCATTTGACCCAGCAATCCCATTGCTGTGTATATACCCAAAGGACTATAAATCATTCTATTATAAAGACACATGCACAGGCATGTTCACTGTGGCACTGTTTACAATAGCAAAGACCTGGAACCAACTCAAGTGCCCATCAATAATAGACTGGATAGGGAAAATGTGGTACATATACACCATGGAATACTATGCAGCCATAAACAATGATGAGTTGGTATCCTTTGTAGGGACATGGATGAACCTGGAAACCATCATTCTCAGCAAACTGACACAAGAACAGAAAATCAAACACTGCATGTTCTCACTCATAGGTGGGTGTTGAACAATGAAAACATTTGGATGCAAAGAGGGGAGCATCACACACTGGGCTCCCTTGGGGGTTGCTATGGGAGGGATCATGGGAGGGAGGGTGAGGGAGGGATAATGTGGGGAGAAATATCAGGTATAGGTGATGGGGGGATGGTGGCAACAAACCATCTTGCCATGAATGTACCTATACAACAGTCTTCCATGATCTGCACATGTACCCCAGAATCTAAAGTACAATTAAAAAAATAAAACAATGCCATGTTCTTTCATTAAGTCTCCAGTGGCTAAAAAGTTTGTTGTTCTTGAGCCTAGGTTTGGCTTCATTGGAACCTCCACCAACTAAATTCACATTAAAGCTAAAAATTAAACAAAACAAATCCAAATTAATACATGATTAATGCACTGCTTTTTAGAAAAGGATAAATAGAGCATTTTATTAACACTTTTTTTGCCGCAACAAAATGACAGTCCACAGATTTTCATTCAACACAACAAAAGCTGTGATCACATTACATCACTTTGAGGCACAAAGCAAAGGGTATTTTTATTTTCTTAAGGTAAAGAATAATTTGCATTTTTTAAACAACCTTTATGTTTTATATTCGCAGTAGCAGGGCCTCCAGTCACTAGCACAATACAATGAACAGATCAAGTATCCAGAATAGACAAAATACACCAAGAATATTTTGAGTTGAATTGGGAAATGCATTGTCAAAATTTTAGGACATCATAAAGAGGTCTGATGTTAGCTTTTTAAGAGAAAAAAAAAATCATTCCAACCACCCAAACAGCTACTACAAGCAAAATGAAGGTAATATACAGATAGGAAATTTTATGCATTGCACTTATTGCTTGGTACACAAATGTTGCAATTCTTGTTGAATTATATTAAGAAACAACAAGCAAAATGCCTCTTCCCCATCTAAAATTCTATGACTCTATGAAAGTAGAAATTGCAATTCCCTAACCCAACATTAGGTGTATGCTATTTTTGGTTTTGTATGATTTTTTAATTATGTTTCTGTGTATGGATATGTATAAGATATACAGATATATAGAGAAAGACAATTTTAATATAATTTATTGTCCTATATATTTAAGACAAATATTTCTTAATAGGACTTTAAATAATAAAATTTTCTACTTACAATATCTCTATGAAGTTTATCTTTCCATATTATATATAGCTCTGTGGCACAAGTTTCATATAGTATTTAATTATGAAGGAAGAAGGATATCTAAACCATTTTCTATCTCTTTGTTGTTAATATTGCATTTTAAGGGCTACATCTCCATAGTAAATTTCTTATTAGATTCTTTATGGTGTATATATCTCATTTTTTCTAAGTTACAACCAGTACAAAGTTGTAATAAAAAATACATTGAAGTTTATTTCTTTTTATATTTTTTGCAAAATAGTTATGTGATACGCTACATGAAAAGTTTGATTTTATTGAAATGCGAAGTTTTTCATACTGTTAGGTAAATGGATGGAAGAACATGAAGCATACCCCTCAATTTACATGTTCTCTTTCACAGAAATAAGTGTTCATGCCCAAGCATTTCATAGAAAACATTGCAAGATATTCCTTTTGAGGGCTAACAAAATATCCCACATTATGCAATTCTAACAATTATTCAGTACAACTGTAGCTGATGGTTCACAATGTACTTCTTTAATTGAGAGATATCCCAACTCCATGATTTTCCTTAATAAATGTTGCTACAACCTGATGCAGCCAACTTGACAGTTTCCCTTTTTTTTTTTTAAAAAAAAAAAAAAAAAACAGGACTTCTTTGTGATATCTTGCAATGCAGTGTAACAAATATATAAGTGCATTTTGCATGATCAAGTAGCTTTGGCTTCCTAACTTTTGTAGGATGAGATGTGCCAACTGTTTTAGTTGTGCTTTATTAAATAGTGATGAGTTTTAGCTCATATGAACCCAATGGGTAACTACTTGTTTCTACAGTTTTGACCAATTAACCTTTAAGTCACAAACGCAAGAATGAATGACTTGAATGGAAATGATGGAACTTCACAATTTTACAGATTGCACTTGATGGTAACCTCATGAGTTTGTTTTCATTTCATTTTTACAGCAAGACTTGCCTGGTTGTTATGTTTACATGTTTACATCATGTGGGTTTTGTGTGTGTGTGTGTGTGTGTGTGCAATCACAATGAATTTAATCACAAACACTAAAAATAAATCCAGTAATTGGCTTTGTTATGAATAATCATCTTGGTCCTTATAGCTATATGAGTCTTGTACTTCTCCTTGTACAAATTCCTCTTTCTTTTCCCAACCATTGGGCCAACCTCCATTGGCCTGTGTTGTGGCACCATAAGACTTGGTGGTACCATAATTTATATAATTTTGAGTAATGTCCCCTGTTTCTTCATCAAGTTCATCTTCATGAATAAATCCACATTTTTCTTCACTTGTTTCCTCAGGGTCTGCCCAGGGTTGTTTCTCTCCTGAGGCAAATATTGCATAAAATATAACTCCACCATAGTGGACTAGGGCAGCGATCAGGAAGACATACTGCCACTCTTCACGTGACTGCAGTGACAAAAAGCAGCACTGTGAGAAGAGACTCTCCACGATTTAAGCACCTAACATCTTTTCTGAATGCACCACTACTTAGTCTTCATAAAACACTATCTTTGGTCCATGTCCTGATGATGTAAAGCAAACACTCGCTATAACACTTCTGTAATACTATTACTTTTATTATTTAATTTTTTACATCTAAAAGTTTAGAAATAAAAGTCCAAATGTATCTACAGCCTGATGATTTTAAAAATATTCATAATCTCTTTTCATGTCCATTGATTTACTTATGTTATTATTTCATTTCTTTTGTTTCTTTACTTCTATTAACCAGATTTTTGAAGCTCTGCATACACATATAAGTACAAACAGCTGATGATAATATTCTTCCTTGGACAACTGCAGGGGAGTCTGAATTGAGGTTTACAAACAAAGCTAAGAAGACATCTGCTTGACTACTTTAAAAAGCCAGAGACAAAAGGGGTTTTTGTCACATCAGGGATATTAGAACTATCAAAAAGTGTTGAGAAACATATTGCTTATAGTTTGGAAAATGGACTTTCTCGGAATTCCCAAAAAGGATATTTTATTCTGAGCCTCATTTATCTTTCCCACTCAGAGATGTGGTGACTGGTCCAGAAAGAGAATGCCAAGGATAATATTTTAACTCTTTTTCCAAAAAAAAAAATTATCATTTGGAGAAACTGTCTTCTGTGACAAAACACCTGTTTTGATCATCTTACCTTATTCTTTGTCATTGCACCAACAATGATAGGACAAACCATTCCTGACAATGTGCCGACACCATTCGAAATGCCCATTAAGATACTGGCATATCTTGGAGCAATATCCAAGTGGTTAACATTGAAACCTGAAATACACACATAAGTTTTGAATCAGGGAATTCTAAACTTCTTAGAAGTAAGAACCTACAGAACCACTGATCATAGCTTCTTTAAAATGTATTGGGTACAGAGGATGTCCTTAATTACTTTGTGATATTTTCTCTTGGGGATATAATGAGAATGGAATGATGTATAAATTCTTATCCAATCCTTAATATGTGATACTAAGTCCACAGAGAGGAGGTAATGTTCTCTTAACAACAACAACAAAAAAGGCAGGTCAGGAGGAAATTGAGTATTAACAAATCTAAATGTTTTCTAAATATTTTATTGTCTTCATTTTCTAGCATAAATATTTGACTATTATTCAGTGTATCAAAGATGAATATGAAGATGTCTATAAAAAGATACATGTATGTATCTGTTATCAGCAGTCAAGATCAGAATGTCACAAGAACAAAGAAAAAAAATTATATCTTACCAGATATAGCAAATCCACTGAACCCCACTGCAAGTACTAAGAATGAGATTGCTACCCCTCTAGTATGAGAATAGCCAACGACCAGAAGCAGTGTGGCTTCCATGCCAAAACCTTCAGAAGCAAACACATAGAAATTATTCAGAAATTTTTGAAATTTTACCAATGAGCCAAAATTGCTAAAAATGTTCCAACTTATTGACCTAGAAATTCCACTTCAGAGAACCTATCTTCAAAAATAATAATAGTAATCATTTATCCTAGAGATTTGTGAAGCTTTCCTCACATTTCAGTTAAAACATCCAAAACAGCTTATAGTTTCAATGATGGGAAGAGGTAAGTTAGTTAGAAAAAATACAAATGGCATTATTAAGCAATTACTTAAAACTAGAAGTTACAAAAAGTTTGAAGATGAAAAAGTTGTTTTAAATGAACAACGAAGGAACAAATGTAACTGCCTCTGAGTAATTTGATATGTGTAGAAAAAGTTATTCACTCACGTAGGTTAAACTGATTGAACTAAAAACGTCCTTAGGGCCACTTACGTACTTACCACCACAATTCATGATCTTTCTCACTGTGGTAGTTGAAAGAATCTGCTTGCTTCTTAGAAAATCTGCAATTTGTCCTCCAATAGGCACAATAATTGTCATTACTAAGTGTGGCACAGCAGATAGCATGCCAACCTGACGAAAAGCAAGAAGGGGGAGAAATAGACATAACCATGAATAATGGGAGCAGTTTAATGGCTTTGGTTTTCTGAATCTGTCATCAAATCTTTACGAAAAAAGGAAGAAAAATACTGTTTCCAAATGACCACTTACTCATTCCTAGAATAAGTAATGCCTTCCACAGAATAAATGAGAAAATCTAAGAGAATTTACTTTGACCCCTTTCAACCTTCTATGAGAAGGTAATTTTTTTTTTTGCTATGTTATGAGTCAGTAAATTTTGAGTATGAATCAACTCTTCTGATGTCATTGAAAGTGTTGGCACAAATACATCCTTAATGAAAGAAGGAAAGTGGCAATAGCGAGAGAGACAGAGTGAGGAAAAATACATTTGACACATCTCAAAGAGGCTGTATTTAAAATTCATTTTTAATTCATAGGGGACAAATGCATATTTGCATTTTAAATATATATCTCTTATGAGTTTATAGCACAGACATAATTTCTATAGAGTAAGATCCCAGATAATACAAATAAGTTCCTCAGATTTAAGTATTTTCTACATCAAATATCAATACTTGATCACATTTTTATATGAAATTAATGAAAAAAAAGTTTGACCATAAAAAATTGTGATCAAGTATTGATAGTATCACACTCAGTAATTGAATATAGTTTTTTCATTAATTTCATGCTAAATAGCCTAATTTAAAACTTCACCCACCAGGATCAGTTAAACACGTATTTTTAACTATTAATTACACACAAAGCACTGTGTTCTAAGAATTTTGGGGACCAGAAGTATAAATAAAATGCATTTAAATTATGTATTACCACATATGTGGACTTAATAAACTTTGAATGTAAACATATAAGGAACATTTTCTGTTTTTTTGTTTTGTTTATTTTCTTACTAAGTATATATTGAAGAACAATTCCTGGCAGAAAGTGTTTATTATTTATGTTTAAGTATGCCTTTGCAGTTACATTATTGAAGGTTTGAGACAAAGATTCTATTTTATTTTACTGGTGTATAGTATGGTATCACAATCATGGATTTGAGTTGTCATAATAATTACTTGTGAGAGTAAATGATTCCATGATAACTTAACCATTCAGGCTATTTAATGATCTCGTCCATCCCATATGGATGATTTTAATATTCTTCTTCTTAAATAAAGAAATTGAGACTCAGAAGTCTTAAGTGATTGTGAGAGCTAAATATTAAATCAGTTCTGAGTCCAAACACTGGGATCTTAGCCAGTATGTTTAGCACCACTACCGCTAGAAGGAAAAATCAAATACAATCAGACAATATATGTTAATGCACTTAGTCTAGTACAAAACTTGGTATGTAGCAGGGGTTCAACAGTGAGCTAAATAAAGCTGCCAGATAAACTGACATTAGAAAAAAAAATTATTGCTTTGAGACCAGCATCTTGAGAAAAGTACAGGGCTTTTTATTCTTCAGAGGGAGTAGATATATTTCAAGCGGTCAATGTATAGAAAGAAAACTTTGAACAAAAAAAATTCTGGAACACTCTATGTTAGGATTTGTATAGAATTACATGGCATGGTTTGGCATTTATAAAGGCAGGCTAAAAGCTTCGGTGTAACCACATTGCCTAAGTCCACAAAAACAACTTGCATTTTGACACAGTATTTGATACATCTGAAAAGTTTTTTAATTGAAAATCCCCTGTTATTTGCTATCTATTCAAACAATCATTTTGATTACTTTGGATAAGGAAAGAACAAAGCTATGGTTATTTTTTAACACTTTCAGCAAAGGGTGTGCAAAGGTCTATGGAAAATGCAAGGTGTTAACAATCTAGAGGGTTAATGAGACAGAAGTTTTAGACTATTTTGGCATATTATTTAACAGTTGAGGGTATTGAATATCCTAGCTTCTTAAAGAATACGTATATTCTCTGTATTTGATCTCAAAAGGGCCAAAGAGGTTTCAGAAGTTTATGAGTTATTCAGTGATCTTCTTGGCTTTTGGTGACTTATCATGAGTAATAACTTGCCACATGATCAAAATGATCAGAACCTTCCTAAGGATCATTTATGTCAATCACATAAAAGTTTGCTTATTATTTTAAGGTTTTGCAATGTTTTTGAGATTATTACTGCTTTAATCTTCATAGAAACTCCAGGTAACTAGATTTTTGCCCATCTTTCTTTTTGCTTTTCTGGGTCACAGTCTAGATTGTACCTCTTCCTATCTGATTCATGTTCTGTTCAGAAATAGCAGCAAAGCACAGCCAGCCAACAGTATTATTCTTCTCCCCTAAGTAGGAAGCTCAAAAGGAGTGGATATCTATTCTCATTTGGCTTGTCCCCATAATTTCACCTTTCAAAGTGCTGGTTAAGCCTAGCACTGACCTACTGATATGCCATTTTCGAGGTCCTGAAAATGTTACATATAAGCATAGACTAATATATTAAATTATATATATATATATATATATATACACACACACTTGACTAAAAATAAATAATATATATATTTGACATATATTGTATTAGCCTATGCTAATATAAATATATATTACTATATATATATCAGTTAACTAATATAATTAACATATATAGTTAGCTGATATAAAATATACGTTATAATTTTATTTATATATATGGTACTATCATAACTAAGTCAGTATACTCAGAATGAAGATGAAGCCATTGCACTTTTTTTTTTCTATAGGATACCCAATTTAACTAAAGGTGCAGAGAATGACCTTCCATGTAAATATTTTATTTATTTTACCTAAATTTGGCTGCACTTCTTAACGATGGTATTAATACCATTATTTAGAGATAAGATAATTGAAGCTGATAATTATTCAAAAGTCTGGTCAAGATTATATACCAATACTTTGCTGTAGAGCTTGGATTTGAAACCATGTCAGCCTAGACCCAAAGCAATTTCTCTCTGTTCTCCAGCATCTCCTATGCAAATTTTTCAGCTATGTCAGAATTTTTTAAACCAATCTAATTAGTATCTGAGGACCAATCTGTGGTGTGTGAACTTATCCACAATTTTAGTTAAAAATATAACTAATAAAGAAAATAAATCAATCCATCTGGTTAATTTATAATTAGTTTTTGCAAAATACCATTGCTTTTGCTCAAGCATTCTCAATCATCGGACATACAGGAGCAAAATGATCACAGTTTCATTAACATCAGTTGGTTTCCTCACTATCCCCTCTGAGACCTGGCTTTATTAATAGCCTCTCAGTGTCATATTTGTCCTAGATTATGAAAATGGACTAACACCTCCAGCAGTCTTTGTTGAGATGTATAACACCTCTCAGAGTTCCCAAAGGCTACCCTGGAATATTTGATCAGCTCCAGAGACAAGAGCTCTGTCTAAAGCAGCCATTCTTCTCAGGGATAGAGGAAACAGTTTCCTTAGAAACAGGAATTACAAAAGAGCTCTTAGAATAGCTATTCCTAAACTGAGGTTTTCTTAAGTCCCAGGTCTCAGATAGTCTTTCAAGTAGAGACAGAATATGAATAGCGAGCCCAGCTGGACTTATGTAATGACATGAAGAGAGATAGCAAGACCATTGCCAGCACAGACAATGTATTCAGGACTCAGCAAAGGGCTTGGCATAGAGATGGCATTGAGCAGATACTCACTAAATGCTTGAATGGATACATGATTTACCTGAATTTGAATGGCATAGTAAAGATAATTGAATGGAAATCAAAGAGTCTTTGTCTGAATTTGATTTTGTTATGTATTACCAGCATGGCTTTAAGCAGTTTAAATGTTTTCCCTAGTTTCTGTTTTCCCATCATTTTTAAATTTTATTTTATTTTATTATTTTTTTTTTAGGTGGAGTCTCACCTCTGTCACCTAGGCTGGAGTGCCATGGTATGATTTTGGCTCACTGCAACCTCAGCCTCCCAGGTTCAAGTAATTCTCCTGTCTCAGCCTCCTGAGTAGCTAATTTTTGTATTTTTAGTAGAGATGGGGTTTCACCATTTTGGCCAAGCTGTTCTCAAACTCCTGACCTCAAGTGATCCACCCATCTTGGCTTCCCAAAGTGCTGAGATTACAGGCGTGAGCCACCGTGCCTGGCCTTCCCATTGTTTCAACAGAAATGACAGTTGTTGTTTAAAAGGTCAACCAGCAAAGGTTGTTGATGAATATGAGAGTATTTTCTAAATTTTGAGTTTCTATATAAATATAGTGTAGTATTTTTGTGTTCATTTTGCCCTTATAGAAAATCTCAAAATGATTATATTTCCATAGCTATGAACAAATGTCTGTGGAATTTAGCATACTGTGTTGTAATTGGTAACTTACTTCCATGTTTATACCACTAAGCTGTGAACACTTTGAGGCTCAAAACCGTATTTTTATTTCTGCATCTAACATAAAGTTCTGCACATTGTGTTCAATAAATAGTTGTTAAATTAATAAACTGTATGGACAAAATACAAAGGTGTTTGCAGATTTTCTTTTTACAATTCTCATATATTTTAGCTGTTCAAGAGTTCTAGGATCATTGAAGAATAATTAGATTGGCAATTAGTAAGTAGAATTCTATTTGGATGGAATACTTTTTTTTTCACATTTACATTGTAACCTGAGGCTTACAGCAAGTTATGCATATTTACCGGGAAAAGATTACACTGCTGCTCACCCCAATTGGGCTGTAAGTTCCATGAAGGCAGATACTAGGTTTGTTTTGCTTGTATTCTCAGTACCAGAGAGCAATTCTAGCTGGCAATAGAATAGAAACATTTTACTTTGCTTCTAATTCCTAGCAGTTATTTGTTTAATGAATAAATGAATAACCTCTGGAAATTCAAAGATAAAAATTTTTGAAAATGAATTTAATATTTCCTTAAATACATAGGTAATCCACAATTTATATAAGAATAAATTTTACATACCTTGCTAATTTCAAATCCAAAGACTTCCTCAAAATATGCTGGCTGACTAATGAGCAGTAAATAAAAAGTCCAGCTTCTGCAGAAGTTTGCAACAATTATTGCATAGACCGGCATGGATGTAAAAAATTTCCTCCATGGAGTCTTGAATTTCTGAAATTCCAAAACCAGAGATATTATGACCATTTTAAATATTTTCAAACTTAAATGGGAATAACCAGTGCTTTGCATTTCAAGGATGTATATAACAGGTCATAAGTTGGATGTAGGAAGATGTAGTTAAGCATTAATTATAACCACAGAGTTAACCTTAGCTACATAAATAATCATTGAAAGAGAAAACAAAAAATCTCAATCACTGCTACTGATTTAATTATTCTAACTTTAGGAATATACAGGATTATATAATTATAGAAAATTGATTCAAAAAGCATAGATCCTAGTTTTTAAGGATTTTTTCTTTTCTTTTCCTTTTTAGTGTTGATAGATCATACCTCAGCTAAAACTCTCTACCACATTAGTGGGCTTGTGATAGCCAAAATATTTTACTTACAACACTGAAAATCCAATGTATTCATGAAGAGAAAGATACAAAAACGGAAGAGTACAGTATTCTAGACCCTACCTGATGTCAATTATTCTACTATTAATCAATCTAAGTCAGTTATTCTGCTACCAATCAATCAATAAATTCTCTTGAGACATAGTAGTTGTAACCATTAATTCTGTGACACTGGAGTTCAAGGTTCTATAAAACTCAGAACAGCTTGGGTGAATGCATTTGTTCATTTCCCTAGCATACCTTAGGTATACAACTAGTTACAATATTTAAAGCATTCAAAATTAACAACCTAAATATGATCAGCTTTGTATATGACTCCTTTAAAAAATTAAACCTAATTGTACTTAAAGTTTCTGTATATGCCCAAATGTAACCAAGTATGTATTCACCCTCAAGACTAATATTTTTAGACCTTAAAATAGCCCTCATATTCTCCAATTATTTCTCAATTACTTTGTTTGGAACACCAAAATACTGCTTGGTGAGGAAACAGTGGCCTAAAATAACTTTGTTAAAAGCTAACTTGGGATCCTTGACCTAACTAAATTACTGAAAGAGAAGGCAAACATATTTCACATGGATTTAACAGTTATTCCTGAGTATAAAACCTCATAATTGCTAGTATTAGTTGTGGCTGTAATTAAGCCTTTTAAAGATCACTTTAAATGCAACACAGTAGGAAGTTATGATGTGGTGATCACAAATATATGAAAGACAAAAAAGAAATAAAATGAAAATGAAAATCTGTCCTAAGATGTAATGAATACTGTGGCTCTGGACAAAAAAATTAGTGGCAGCATCAGAAATGGGTTTAAAAATGCAGTTTTTAAAAAGTAATCAATATGTTCTAAGAAAATGATTCTAGATGAGTACACTTATTTCACAGATAATAAAAATGTCAGAAGACAGACATTTCTGCATTATTGTATTATGTTAGCATAAGAAATGACTCCAGAATATTATTAGAAGTAAAAAAAAAAAACAACTTTCCCCTGCTGGGCAAAGATCCTTTCATTCATACCGGGATCATCTTCCACTAAGAACTTTATTCTTTATTCTGATGCTAAAACACTTCATCAAATGCAAGAGAAAAATATCTCATTTTTTGTCTTAAGAGGTATTAAAGGGGAGTTTATGGTGTTCTGATAATGTTCTATTTATTGAACTGGCTGTTTATGTTTAGTTTATACAAATTAAAGAAGCAGATTGTTTATTATTTGCAAATTTTTCTGTACATACACTATATTTAAATATATATATATTTTAAAAAGACATTTAAAAGACATTGCAATCAGTTGCAATGTGTGCTTCTTTATCAGATTCAGATTCAAAACAAATAGTTAGAAATAAATTTGAATATAGGTTAGATATTAGAATATAGATGGTAACAGAAATTTGAATATGATGTGGGTGTTAAATGATAATAGAGAATTGTTTGTAATTATGTTAGGTGTAATAGTAGCCCTGAGAATGTGAAGGAGAATATTAGTTTTCTAGAGATACATATGAAGGATTCATGGATAAATTGTTTTGAGGTTTCATTTACCTTGAAATAGTTCATCAAGATAAAAATGAAATAAATATGGCAAGACGATAATTGTTACACTTATTTGGTGGGTATATGATATTCCCGATTCTTCCTCTTTTGCTGTATATTAAATTTCTCTCACAATAAAAAAGTTCAGATTAACTAAAATACAGATTCTATTCCCACATAATCTCATTTTTAAATTTACTTTGAAGCTACAGGAACATACGAAACATCACTAAAAAGTAAAATACTGTGTTTAGAAAAGCGGTGAGGTATAGGAAGTGGGGAGCTGAAAATTATGCTGTTTTTTTCATCCTCCTGCTGTTCTTTCTGTGGTCATTTGTTGGAATTAGTTTTTACTTAGACATAATTTCTGATTTTGTTTTGAATTTATTTCTAATCTCGACATATGACCTCTCAAGAACTGGCAAATAATAGACCATAATGAATGAATAGGATATAGGCTGATCAGATTATGTTGGAGCTAGAAATCCAGGCTAACCTCAGAATTTGCCATAAATCAGCCTCTATTACCTTCTGCTCAAAATAACTGCAGCTAATGGGCACCAGTGCATACTACCAATCTCCCACCCACTTCCATATCACCTCTCATTTCTCAGCAGCCACCATAAGAAATTATTCGTCTATTTACAGAAGGAAACACGAACGGGAAGGTTCTAATATCAAGCTAACTCATGGAACCACTACAATGTAAAGACTTTTTTAAAGTTTGAAAGTTTAACTTCTGAAATTATACATGATATGGGATTTTTCTTATTCATTAAGAGCCAATATAGCTCAGTAATAATGGGTGATAGAATTTTTTCTTTTTAACTTAGGAGGAAATGTCAAAGAAAGGCATTCTTTAACAAATAAAGCAGAGAATCTAAGCTAGAATCAAACACACCTCGAATAAGGAGAGGGAGGTGTTTGTTTTAAAAGAACACATGCATAATATGCAAGGGGCATTGATTCTGCAACTAGTGTCTGACACCTTCAAACTCTTAGCATAAGGAAAATGCATTCATAGATCAGATTGCCAAATGACTGAATCTGTCTAAATACACTACTTTTACTAACCAGTGTTTTCCTTTTTTTTTTTTTTTTTAGATGGAATCTCACTCGGTCTCCCAGGCTGCAGTGCAATCTCGGCTCACTGTAACCTCCATCTCCCTGGTTTAAGCAATTTCCCTGCCTCAGCCTCCGGAGTAGCTAGGATTATTGGCATAGACCACCAAGCCTGGTCAATATTATTTTGTTTTCTTAGTAGAGAAGGGGTTTCACCATGTTGGCCAGACTGATCTCAAACTCCTAACCTCAGACAATCCACCCACCTTGGCCTCCCAAAGTGCTGAGATTACAGGTGTGAGCCACCGCGCCTGGCCTGCTTTTTTAAACATAATGTAAGGTGGCTTTTGTATTAATTAATATGTACAACACATCAATGTTACATGGAATAAAATATTTGAATTATTGGAACAGAACTATATTTTCTCTCTCTTTAGATAAACCCTAAGAAATCAAATCATCAGAAAAAAAGGCTTCACAACATTGTCTTTATAATATTTGATATTCATAATAATAATCCTGAAAGATAATGACATTTAATGAATAAAATAAATGTTGTTAATAATTATTTTATGTCAGCTACTATTGGTGTTCTAATGCTTCAGTATCTCCTAAACCATATATAACATAAATACACATGTATTAAACCTACGTTTAGAATATAGTAGATCCCCCTTAACCACGGTTTCATTTTCTGAGCTTTTGGTTACTCCTTGAAGAGTATAATAAGATATTTTGCAGGGAAGGGCATATTCACTTAAGTTTCCTTACAGTATACTGTTATAATTCTTCCATTTTTATATTAGTCACTGTGGTTAATCATTACTATATCTAGTTTATTAAATTTTATCATAGGTATGTGTGTATAGGATGTGTATGTATATGTATGTATGTATGCATTACATTTTATCATAGGTATGTGTGTATAGGAAAAGCATTATATGTAGGGTTCAGTACTAGTCACAGTTTTAAGCAACCCTGGGGGTATTGGAATAGATCTGTTGAAGATGAGGGGGTACTACAGTATTCAATAAACCAAAAATTGCCCTTTTCATGGACTGATTTGGATTTTTTTAAAATTTAAAGTTGACAACTATTTATTGTATGTTTAAATTACAGACGATATTGAACTGTTTAAAAATCTTGTTTAAGTTTACAGTAATGGTTATAATCCAGTGTACATTTTAAAAGGCTTAAGAAAGGATAAAGGAAAAATTAAATGACAGATGGAGGAAATAGCTATTATTCCTAAGTCAGAGACTATGGATGGACAAAAAAAAAGTTAATGATTGATATAAAATTAGTTTTGTTGAGGAAGAAGTTGTAAGATAGTTCGGTTGGTCAAGGGGGAGTGAGGTGGGAATAAGGTAGGAATATACACCATAATAAAGTTCTTACTTCCATTGCACCTAAAAGATTTGCACTCTCTCCAATGCTTTCTTCTATGTACCTACGTTCTTCATCTGTAATAGTAGGATGCTTTGCAGGACTTTCGTAAGACACCAAAAGCCAAAACATGTACCAGACCATTCCAAAGCTTCCTGCAAGCAACAGTTCAGAAGGAGAAAGTCAAATCTACCACAAATACTTCAACTGAACAGTGATGTGCTGGAATAAAACTGCAATCAGCTCATGATAAACATATTCTATTAGAAGAATTCAAGCTTATGCTTCTCTAACTGACATTAGCCATCTTTTCTTCTCTTTTGTCATTAAGCTTCAAACTTCTTAAAGGCTAGTCCTGTGGTTTTATCTCCTTGTCTATATTAAATAGCACTGATATACAATAAGCCATAAATAATTATTGAATGGTGTAGTTTGGAAGGTATTCATTCATCCACCAATACTGAGCAGTTAGTATTCTAGGTACTCTAGTTAAGGGAGAGAAATGTAATGAACAAAACAAAATTCCTGTTCTCAAAGAATTTTTCTGGAGTTGAATCCTTTTCCTTCTTCCCTGCCTGGAATATATAAAATTGGTTGCATTTCCAGAGAAAATAATTGCTCATTTCCCTCTCCTGTTAACACTTCCAGATCTAGTAAACAGACTATTAAACAAAACCTAGTTATTTTAGCTTCAGTGGCTATATTACACTAAAAGTGGGTGTCTGTACTTAATGTTTACGTGACTGTTTATGATATTATTTTCAGCACATACTATTGCCTATTGATCCTTCTTTGGGAAGACAAAAATGATAAATTCCAAGGCCATAAACTAAATTCTTTTTTATCCTCTTCTTCATTTAACACTCAAACCATTAAAACATGTCCTTTTTGTGCAATATAAATCTGTAAGCATTAATAATAGCAAGAATTTCAAGTGATTTATTCTGGTTTCCCAGCAGTTGGCCGTTTCATTTTTCCCTCACACTGTTCTCTGTCCCTTGGGTAACAATCTAAATGCTCCTGATCCCTACAACACTTTCTCTTTTGCCTATTCAATCTCTAAGAAGTGATCCTTAAAACCATGCAGAGCTTCTGATGAGCTGTGTTCCTTTTAATTACCGAATATTGCAGCAAACATGATTTAGGTTCCGATAGTGCTTAAAAATTCAGTATAATAGTGGTGACAGAATATAACTCCTAGATTCAAATCCTGACTGTGTAACTCATTTGCAATGTGATCCAATCAGAAACTGAATATCTCTAAACCTCCACTATAAAATGAGATAATAATTCATTATTATGGAATTGTGGAAAAGTTAAAGGAGGCAATGTATAACCCGACCAACAGAGTGGATGGTGCAAAATAAGCACTCAAAAATGAGAAATCTTGTAATTTTGTAATAATTATCATTACTGCTAACTGAATTTGCCCAAAGTACCAGACACACTGCTAATTACTTCATGTGTATTATCTTTTTAAATTTACTCCAATATACAGATCTTATCTCTTTAATCTTTAAAATATGAAAACTGAATATGTGACTCCAGACCAAATTATTGTTTCACACAGCAAGTAAGCAAGTACTATGATACGATATTTTCAGATTATCTGTTTACACTTTGTATCATTCAATGATAAATATCAAATGAGATGTAACTTGAAATAATGATACTAGTTGTTTATGAGTGCCTTGTTTAAATTTGTATTCTTACTTTAAGGTCACACATATTCAATGAAGTAATGGACTAAGGCACAAATTAAAGTATTTAATGGATAGTTATATCAGCTTGAACGATACACCCTATAAAACAAGTGCTGTTAAACTTCATTGAATTATGCATTCTTTTGAAAATCTAATGAAGGGTATAAATTAAAATCTGATTTCAAAAAATCTCCCTAAGAAGAAAAATATTCACAAATATATACATGGCTTGCAATTTAGGACATCCATGGGTCCAAAACCCATTCATGACTTTTGAACCACAAAAAGAATCCCTATGATAAGTGACATTTAGTAACATTCTACAAGCTGAATAATTTGTTCTGATGAGAACATTTCAAAATGGGAATGAATCAGTGCAAATTTAGAAGCAGCCAGATACTGTTCTACCACATGACTTCATTAATATTTCAGATTCTCATGGCAATGTTCAAAGATGATATTAATCAGTGACAATATCACTTGGAATCCAGCTCTCTTATATTTTTCCTTTCCTCATTATTAAAAAGTGCAACTTAGAAAGAAAGACTGCAGGGATATTTTGAAATGGTTAGAAAGTGAATATCAAGAGTGTTTTAGATTTAGGATTACATATTTTGTTTCAACGTGGGGGCTTACTTGCCATTATTTCAGGGGAAACGAGCACTCAGATGTGCTGCTATAGTTGATATTTCATCAAAGAATTGAATCGTTGCATTAGCACCACCACCGCCTTTCAGCTTTACACCCCCATTCAGTCTTGAAGAGGCAGAATCAGCAAAATGACCAAGAAGGTAATAGCAAAGAAAGGTGGGTGCAGCCTACTCTTTCCTATTCATTAGCTTTTAATCACGAGCTAATTTAATATTTTTTTCATAATCAAGGACATAGATTTACTACATGACAAAGTTCCTGTCAGCAATGTGTTTGCTTTTTAAAACCAGAAATAGCAATCTAAGAAAAATAACAGAGATTAAATATTTTCCTGATTTTCAGAATACAATGAAATGATTCTTAAGAGAAGAAAATAAGTAAACACAGAAATATATTTAGTGATTGACCCCATTGTTTTCAACCACTTTTATTTTAGCCTATGCACATTTCATTTAACTCTATTGTCTAGAAATGTAACATACCATAGACATAAAATACTGAAGACCAGCCAGTATACTGTACAAGAATGCCAGCTAAAGGCATTGCAATCACAGCTCCAGCATAAGAACCTAAAGTGCAAGGAAGAATTGGAGAAAGGTGAGTGAAATCAGTAGAAATTCTTGATTTCATCTCATGTTCCTTGGTTGATTCACACCAACAGACACTTGCACATTCAGGTACATGTGCCCCACACCCATACACATACCCACCACCACCAAACACATATATGCCTACATACATACACAGGAACACAGGATTAATTGCACAAGTAGATACCACCTACTTCCAACCCAAGACACAATAGAGATTGAAAAATAACAATGGAACCATGCTGACTAACATGTGTCATGCAGGTCTATGTGCTGGACTTGGGACAGAGGTGCCAACACTAAACAGACACCTGAAATCTATTCTTGCTACCTCAAGCATGTTCAGATTCATGCGGTTTCAAGTTTGTGTAGTTTCTTTCTGACTTCATTTTATTTTATTTTTCTGCCAAAGGTCTCTTTATTAGTATCCATGATTGAGGGCATATTGCTTCAGTTCTCAATGCATGGCCAGAAGATGAAATCATGGTAAGTTATCATGTTTTTCCACTATGGCAAATTTGCTCTTTTTTCTGTCCCATAAAACAGTTTAAAACATACTGGCAATTTTCATGATAATAGGTAGCATTCATAAGCTTTTCTAGTGAGTATCACCTAATTTATATCCCTTTGATTTTTTCATAGTGGATTATTAAAGGCAATTGTAAAAAAATAATCTTAGACATATAGACAGAAATGGAAATATTTATGCCCTGTGATTTAGACCCAAATGCATGTAAATTCAACCTCTATAAGTAATAATACTGTTAATCTTATGGCTTAAGTATACAGCGAAAACACAGCAGGCTTAATTTCCTATTATTAGGATTATTCACAGCAGTTCTAATAGCTGATTTGGAAAAGGAATTGCTTTCTTGCCTTACTGCTTTGGTAGAAAGAGAATAACATGAGCATCATGCAGGCATTAAATGATCTTAAATCACGGTGATTGTCTTAAAATGTTTTAAAAGTTAGCAGTGAACAAAATTAGCTTTAGATTAGCAGAAATAGCTCTACACTTTAAAAGTTGGGACTGAAGCTTTAATACATGTTCATTAATTCTATTTCCCAAAATAGCAGTAAGGTCAGTTATGATCCCTAAAATAAAAATTCTAATGAATGAGAAATTATAACAATAGTACCTAGGAGAATACTTAAAGATCCTGTTAATTTAAATTATAATAGTTATTTTCTATAGGCATTTTATTCACTGTAATTCAAACATATAGCGGTATCAAATACAAGTTCTGAGAAACTGTTAGATTTTAACACCAGACAGATTTCAAAGTAAATGTAATATTTATTTGTAAACATAATTACATAGTCTTTTAAAAAATCTCTGTAAATGTGTTTAAAATTTGTATTTTTGTATATTTTTGTCTAGGTAGAATAAAAAGAAAACATTTAGGTTCTCAAAAATATGTATTGCAGTATAAGAGTATTATAAAAAATACCACCACCCATGAATATATTTGAAATTCTAGATGAAATGGATCAATTCCTAGAAAAATACAAACATAATAATAAATAGAAGATTTAAGCAAAACAATAAAACAAAAGAAATGGAAATGGTGGTCAAAAACCTTACCACTCATAGATGCACTACAAAACCTAGATGGTTTTACAGGTGAGTTGACCAAACTTTCACTTCTTATTCAAGTTGTTCCTAAACTTTTACCCACCATAACTGCATCTGCACACAGTACTCACCACAAAAGGAAGTAGTTGCCAGTCTACTCCTTTCTAGAGGTGGGGCCCATTTGCTCCATATCCCATGACATGCTGGGTAGGTAACACCCTGTGATGGGGGAAGATATGCATCACCCTCATGATTTAGGATCAAGAGTCTTTTTAGTATCCTGTTCAAATCCTCCCCGCCCTTCAGATGTCTTTCCATCTCAATTTTTTTTTTTTTCTGATTAAGGTAAAAGAAAAGACTGTATATTAATCAATTTATCTGTAATTCTGAACAGTTTGAAAAATTAAGGAGATCTTTTTGTAGGCCATTAAATTCAGTAAATCCCCAATATAAATATCTATACAGAGAAAAGTCAAGTTTAGATCCTTGGAGCCCACACTTCCTTAAAGCAGTGTGTAGAATTTAAGACCTTTAGTCTTTTTCTATTATTTTGAACCTCTACATATTTTTTTATTTTTGGAGGGAGAGAAGGATTTTTGTTTTTGTTTTTTATTATTTTATTTTTTAAGTTCTGGGGAACATGTGCAGGATGTGCAGGTTTGTTACATAGGTAGACGTGTGCCATGGTGGTTAACTGGACCTATCAACTCATCACCCAGGTATTAAGCCCAGCATTCATTAGCTCTTTTCCTTCGTGCTTTCCCCACCTCACCCTTCCCCACTGGGCTCCAGTGTGTGTTGTTCCACTCCCTGTGTCCACGTGTTCTCATTGTTTAGCTCCCACTCATAACTGAGAACATGCAGTGTTTGATTTTCTGTTTTCACATTAGTTTGTTGAGAATGATGACTTCCAGCTCCATCCATGTCCCTGCAAAGGACATGATCTTATTCCTTTTTATAGCTGCATAGTATGAGAAAGGGGATTTTTTTTTAAGTGCCTTAATTTTTTATGTTATTTGTCTACTTCCATTGTACCCCATGGAAAGAGAAGGGGAAATGGGTAAGCCAAACTCAAGTTTTTAAGTGGAATTCTTTCAGAGTCTGCAGGCTGATGGAGCAAGAGTTGATCATTAGGATTAGATGCCCCCAAAATGTATTCAATCAAATATTTCAGTGAAAACTCATATCATGTTTCAAAGCCAAAAGGAACTTACTTCGTATAAAACTTTCAAGATATTAATTCATGGTATTACCAGCAAAGGACAGATTCTAAAATACTTATCATGGCACATTAACAAATATCCTTGTTTTTCTTCTTTTTAAAAGTCAAATAGGCATTAAAATATTTCTTTAATTCTGCTCAATTCTAGAGAGAAGGAGGTAAGCAGTGACATTTATAGTTTCATATCGTTTATAGACAAAATATATGATTGCCTAACATTTCCAGTGTTTCATTTTTTATTTTAACTCTATTGAGATACAACGTAATACAGTATGTTTATTTATAGATAAAGACAAAGATAAACTGGGGTTCTCAACTGCATACCAATCTTAAAATGACATCAACCTGAAGTTCCATACCTCAACAAGTCCCTGCAGTATTCTAACAAAGATGACACATCCATAGTGCACTCTGGCTGCTGACGGAATTAGCATATTTAGGGTAGAGGTAAGAAGTATGGCAGCTCCAAACACCCTGAAATAGAAAAGATGGGAACACTGTTTAAATGATTCAGCATCTTACATACATACATTTAAATTTCTCAGGTGAAGTTAAACATTTAAAATAATAAAAAATTACCAGTGATTTTAAGATAGATTGTTTTTTCTAAAACGTGTTCTGGACTTAACTGGCTACCCATTGTAAATACATACATGAGCCATCTAGAAATTCTACATTTGATACACAGAAAATAAAAGGAGCCAATATATTTTGTTATACTATTATTTTCTTTATAGAATTAATTATAAATCATAAATATTTAATAAATCAATATATGTTTTGGACTCTATTTCAGTCTACAATGTAAACTGCTTAAGGGTAAGTGTTGTTTTTCACATCCATTGTATCGTTGACACTTTAGAACAGTGCCTGGCACATGGTTGGCAATAACTGAAGAGTTGCTAAAAATAATGAATGCATAAATGAACTTGTTCCTCACATTGTGCGGCTATTTGTAACTTCCCTAGAAGCTGCACATACATAGAAATTTTATAAACAAACTTGTGTTTTAAATGTCCCCAAAAACTTCATGATTAGATCACCTAGCACATGTTCTTGAAATAATGCAAATAACTATACTTAATATATCTCTCTCAAGTTTTTCATTTTTTTACTTTCTTTTCAGTGGGTAAATGGGCAGATTCTGTTTGAGACACATCTCTAGCAGCACACCTACACACAACAGTTCAAGAAAAAAATTGCTGGAAATACAATGCTAAAGCTTTTATCCATCTACAAGTAAAAATTCCATTCCATTCCATTCCATTCCATAATTTAAAAAAAAGAAAAAAAACAAACTTCTATAATGTTTATACGAAGGAAGAAAAATATTCCTTTAACTGGGTTACTTTATAACTACTCTCTTGCAAAGATGTTTTGGAACATGCTATCTCCAAGGAGCTAATGTATGTGTTTTAGGCAAATTTTATCAAGTCAAACCTGAGCCTTGAATTCAGTCAATATTGGTTGCCTCATAGAAGCTCTGATCTTTCTTGGGGGCACTTTTAAATGTTACTGTTTAAGACCTGGATTTCTGCAAAGGACCATCTATGATCATTATTAATCTGCTACAGAAAGGTGAGAAATGATATCACAATGGGCAGTTAATTAAAACAACTCTTTTTCTATAGATCATATACTGGTCAAATAATTCTGTGCAAAAGTATATGTAGCCTGTACCTGCCCTCCCTTAGTGACTTCTCTCCACCGAGGTAAGCTGTCACTCATGAAGTGAATATTCTGCTCCATTCTTCCTCTGTGCTATTTGCTCAAAATAGATGTCCTTCTGTTGTGAGCCAAAGATAATTTTGCATGCTAAGGTTTGAGGAAAAACTTTTAAATCCAGGTTTATGTAATATGTATGTCTTATTTTCTTATAATTATTTTAGAGGTATGATGCATAAATTTTATTTTCTATTAATGTAACATTCTATCATCACTTTCTCTTCCTTTTTAAAGGGTTTGTAAATACGATTGTCTTTTTTTTTTTTTGTGGGGGTGGGGGACGGAGTTTCACTCTTGTTACCCAGGCTGGAGTGCAATGGCGCGATCTCGGCTCACCGCAACCTCCGCCTCCTGGGCTCAAGCAATTCTCCTGCCTCAGCCTCCTGAGTAGCTGGGATTACAGGCACGTGCCACCATGCCCAGCTAATTTTTTGTATTTTTAGTAGAGACGGGGTTTCACCATGTTGACCAGGATGGTCTGGATCTCTCGACCTCGTGATCCACCCACCTCGGCCTCCCAAAAATACGATTGTCTTTTGATAAGCTGGTGAAAGATGAATATTACCCACTCTTTAGCTTAGAGTTTCTCAGCCTCTTTATTATTGAGATTTGGGGCTAGATAACCCTTTGTTGTGGGGTGCTGTCCTGTGTACTACTGTGATGATTAGCACCATCTCTGGCGTTTATTCGCTAGATGCCAGTAGCACACACCCCTCCTCTAAGTTACGACAACCAAAAATGTCTCCGCAATTGCTAAATGTTCCCTGTGAGAAAAATCACTCCCTTAGTAAAGCTGAATCAAGTATGAACTATTTGTTGAGTACACACTATAGTCAGAACTAAATTTAATGAGTGTTTCGACTTGCTAGATACGATATTAAATTTCCCATGCCATAAACTCCACAAGCACCTAACAACCCAGAGACATGGGTATTATTCATATATCGATGTTGTAGATGAAGAAACTAAACCTAAGATAAGAAAAATCACAAGTTCAGATTGTTTAGTTTTAAATAGAGGATACCTGTTTCAGATACAGTTCTGTTTTATTTAAAACCCATTGAGTTTTGCCACAAGGATTTATACCTGATTATACACATGTTAGGTAGTTAGTAATATGCTTCAGCATTCTAACTGTAAATTTAAATAATAATCTTTACAAAGCCACTTGAAATCACACTATGATTTCTGAAACAAAATGCTAATAGATCACTTCAATGTTTACTTTTCATTCTTGCCCTGAATAATGTTTCTAATTATACAATATCATGGCATAATTGAAATGGTTTTAATTTTAAGTTCCTTAATTTCTAGAGTCTCACTCTGTCACCCAGGCTGCAGTGCAGTGGCACTATCTTTGCTCACTTCTGCCTCTTGGGTTCAAGCAATTCTCATGCCTCAGCCTATGGAGTAGCTGGGGCTACAGGCTTGCGTCACCATGCATGGCTAATTTTTTTGTATTTTTAGTAGAGATGGGGTTTTGTCATGTTGACCAGGCTGGTCTTGAACTCCTGCCCTCAAGTAATCTGCCTGTTTCAGCCTCCGAAAGTACTGGGATTAGAGATGTAAGCCACCACGCCTGGCCTCTTAATTTCTTTATCTATCCCTTTTATTATTATTATTAGTGACCACTGCACCTCAAAATCACTGATTTTTCTTGTATCTAGTTCAGAATAGAATCCATCAAACTTTACGAATCTCATCTTCTTATTTTATTTTATAGAATTGTTATCCTAATTAATATCTAAATAATTAAAATTCTGATTATCAAAATTCTTGCCCTAAATGGAAAGCCAAAACTGAAGCAGACTCCACATTCAGTATCCATTCATGCATTCACACTTTGAACCTCTGTTAGATTATATTCAGAGAAGAGTCTTGTGTGGAGGAGAAGGTAAGAGCTAGAGATCACTTACTGTAGTTTCTCCATTTATATTGACTCATTTAATCCTCACAGCAACTCTCTGAGTTGTTAGACTTTCCTCTCATTTTATAAATAAGAAAACTGAAATAAAGTGGTGTGGCCAAGAAAAAATCAAGTAGTAAAGCTCAGATTTAAATCCAGGGCTCTCTGACCTAAAAATCTGTGCTCTTTCATTCACATGATGTCAGCAGGCACTTAGAAAAAGAAGAGGATGGGCCTCAGTTTTGTAATAGGAGAGGAAAAGAGAGACAAGTAGTCCAGGGACAATGTATGCCAAAGGCCACAACAGAAGCACAAATTGAAAACAGCAGAGGAAAACCCTCATTTCAGCTGAGTTGACCAAGTCACAAACCTTTGGTAGGGAAACTTTGAACGATTAATAAAAAAGAAGAAAGACTTTCCAAAAAGAAGGAATGACTCAGCAAAGCTTCACAAATGGTAGAGGTTACCTTATGTACCAGAAACTAAGGCAGTATTGAAAATGGCTGAACATAGTGGCTCAGGTGCGTAGGAGAAGGAAGAACATCAAAGCCTCTTTGAGGAAGTGTAGATAATCCAAAAAGCTGAAGGGTGAAATTTATCAGTTTGTGATATCTTGGTGACAATTGAGTCTGGGGTGAACACAGAGGGTAAGTGACAATTATGCACCTAAAGTGAGGGAAATATAAAGCTCACTGGGATTGAGGAGAAAGGGATCTAAAAGGCAGGAAGCAGGAGGTGGTTAAAATGCACGTAAGTTCAGGCAGGATGATGGCTTGCAGAGGAGCAAGGGATCAAAGTCATTGACAGTAGGAGAGGGGGAAAAGGCTGACGTAAATATGCTACAGTAATTTTTGTAGGACCCCAGCTTTGTCACTTAATAATTATGTAACTGGTAAGTTGTTTAACTTCCCTAAACTTCTACTTCCTTGTCTGTAAAAAGGACATCAGTAGGTAATGGTTCAGAGCATGGATTCTTGAGCCAAACTGTCTGGATTCACAGTTCATCTGTCACTTATTACTTGAGTGACCTTGAGCATTTTATGTAACTTTCTGTGCCTCATTTCTCATCTAAGCAATGGGAGTATTAATGGGAACCCATGAGTTATTACAAGTAAAAAACCCGGAAGAATGACTGTAACACTTCAAGCATTTAAAGAATGTTAGAACTTGCACGATAATAGTACTAATGTATTTTCTCTCTTAAGACTGCTATAAGGCTAAACAAAATAATGTACCTAAAAGACTTAGTCTGATGCTTGACACATGAAAATAAATTCATAACTGTGAGCCAGTCAGGTAGCGACAGTAATGGTCAATGGTTATTGAATTGTTAGTGTGGAGATTAATTCCAGATTCTCACGTTTAAAGAACAACAATATTAGAAAGCTCTTGCTATCCTTACTTCACAGATGATGTAACCATGTCCGAGTGAATTAAAATAACCTGTCAAGGTCATATAGATAGTAAGTAGAGAACTATGGTTTATATTACTTATCTGGCGTAGATCCTGGATGTGTAGCCACTAAGATCTACTTACTACAATAGCAGCAACACTAGTATTGGCATTAACAATACCAACAGCAATAGATAAAATAACATAAACTTTGAAAGATGAAAATGTTATAGAAAGATGGATGCTAGTAGCAGTGGGAAGTGAAACCAGAATTCTACCCTATCTCTCCTATGTTTTGAAGTAAGTAGTTAAAAGGAGAGGTTCACTTATGAAAGTTTTGTATTTTCTTAAAGTCTAGGTTTCTATAAAGAAATGAAAGAAGTAGTGGAACTAAATATGAAAAAGAAATTTAAGAATATAAAATCATTTAGCACAGTAGTTTGTTGACTT